ATAATACTGATGGAGATGCTCATGTTGGGACATGAGCTCAAGAGGTTGGAGAAAATGTAGGGGTTGCAATGTGTGAAATTGTAGGTGATACTGAATTTGGTGTAGCAGTTGTTGAAAATGTAGAGCCTGCAGAAGATGAACCTGCAGATGTTGAAGATAAGACAACGTTTGAGGAACCTGTAGATTATATAGTAGATGAGGTTGAGAAACATGTAGATGTTGAAGTGGAGGGACCTGAAGTTGAGGAACCTGCAGATTATACTATGGATGAGGCTATAGTTGAGGAACCTGAAGTTGAAAATGTAGTGCATCTCGATGATAATGCATTAACTGTTGGTGATATTTCACATGAACCTGCAGTTGGAAAGGCTGATAATGCACCGACTGATGATGAAAATATGGTGGAGAATTTTCCAAGTGATGAGAAACATGTGGTGCCTCCTGCTGATAATGTACCGAAATTTGAAGAACTTGTGGTTGAACCTAAAGTTCAACATGATGGGGACCATGAATTTGAAGAATAACACTTGAAGGACTTTAGTGATCCAGAATATGTTCAGTAGGAAAATGTTGCCAAAGACGACAGTGATGAAGATGTATTATTCAGGTTGATTGAACCTTTTGACATTGGCATTGATAATATGGGAGATGAAGTTCAGGGTAATGCAGGACTTGGAGATGGTGATGGAATAGACTTCGATGACTCTGATGACCTGAGAAGCATTCCAAGTAACAGTGAAGAATGGGGTTTATCCTCAAGAGCTAGGAATGAAGTTTGGTTTAACTCTGCAACTGGCATTGAAGATCCAAAATTCTAGATAGGCATGAAATTTGACAATATAAAGATACTGAGGGATACAGTAGTACAATATTCAGTAAAAAATGCAAGACATATAAGATATGTAAAGAATGAAAAAACCAAATTAAAGGTGAGGTGTGAGAATAATTGTTCATGGGAGTTATATGCCCACCAATAGCCTGATAAGAGTTTCAGGATTAACACCTTCAAGGATGAATATACTTGCACAATGGTGTGGCAGAACAAAAGAGTAAACGTTGGGTACTTGGCAAAGAAATACGTACAGAGTTCAGATCGGTCCAAAATTGTTTAGATCAGTAAAAAAAATGCAAAGTAGATAAGATATGTGAAGAATAAAGGAATCAGACGAAGGATGAGGTGTGAAAAAAATTGTCTATGGGAGTTATATGCCCACCAACAGCCTGATAAGAGTTTCAGGATTAACACCTTCAAGGATGAATATACTTGCATAATGGTGTGGCAGAACAAAAGAGTAAATGTTGGATACTTGGCAAAGAAATACATACGGAAGTTCAGATCAGATCCAAAATTGTCCATGAAAATTTTATTGACACAATGAAGGAGGACTGTATGAATGAGATATCAAAGCTTCAATTTTATAGAACGAGAGAAAAATGTTTAGAGGTTATTAACGGTCTTGTATCTGAGCTATATAAGATACTATGGGACTACAGTGAAGAATTGAAAAGAACTAATACTGGTAGCATAGTTCAAATTGAAGGTTCAGGGCCCACATTCAAAAGATGTTACATATGCTTGGGGTCTTCCAAAGAAGGATTTAAGTCGAGGTGTAAGCCCGTGATTGGTTTGGATGGATGCTTCTTAAAAAGTGAACAAGGTGGACAACTACTGGTTGCAATTTGTATTGATGGAGAAAACTACATGTTCTCTGTTGCATGAGATATAGTGGATGTTGAGAACAAAAGAAATTAGGAATGGTTCATATTACTTTTAATTGTTGATATTGGGACGCATAATAGTATGGCTGGAAATTTATTTCAGATAAATAGAAGGGTTTGGTAGAATCCATTAACAAATAATGTGAAGGAGCTGAGCATAGGTATTGTGCAAGATACATGTATAGTAACTTCACTTTGATGCATAAGGGCCTTACGCTGAAATCATTGTTCTGGTCTGCAGCTAGGGCAACAACTATGCCAGAGTAGAAGAGTGCAATGGCTGAAATAAAATAAGTTACTGAAGAAGTCTTCAAGTGGTTCAATGAGAAACCAGCCTCATATTGGACCAGATTACATTTTCAGGAGCATAGTAAATGTGACATCCTACTTAACTACTTATGTGACATTCAACATCTTCCATTGTTGTTGCAAGAGAAAAGCCAATTATATCACCATTGGAAAAGATTAGACACAAACAAATGATGAAGAAGAATATAAAAAGGAAGCAGTACAAAGATGAGATCGTGCTTTTGGTCCTAGAATTATGACTATAATTGAAAAGGCAAAGGCAGATGCAAGATACTTGAAGGCAAATTATGCCGGTAGTGAGAAGTTTGAGGTTAGCAATAGAGATGGTATGCGATGGAGTGTAGACTTGACAAGAAGGGAATGTGCATGTAGAAAATGGAAACTTAGTGTAACCCTCTATGCTCATGCAATCTCTGGTATGTTTTTTAAGAACATTGGCATATATAAGTATATTGATGCATACTATACCAACGAAGCTTATCTCGGAACCTACAACCTAGTAATCCAACTGACGTCAAGTTCGGAGTTATGGCCAGAACTTGGTAGGCATCCTCTTACTCCAACCATGAAAAAGAAATAGGCAAGCAAACTAAAGAAGATGAGAAAAATGTCACAAGTTGAACCACCTTCAAGTACAAAAATTGCAAGAATGGATATGAAGATGATATATAGAAGATGTGGGGAAACAAGCTATAACAGGAGAACAAGCATAACCTAATTGTCGATAGATGCGAGTTCCCATCCAAGTTCACAAATAGATACTCAGCAACAATCACCACCAACATCACATGGCAAAAGAAAAGCATCCACGTCAGATGAGTCTCTAGCACAGGAAAAAAAGGGTAAGGAAAAAAAAACTTAGCTTGTATGCTTCTGTGTTTTCTTAGACTACTTTCGTGTTGTATATGATCTTTTGTAATGGATTAACTTGAACTTGTCTTTTGATAATTTACATTTCAATTGAACATGAAAATAATTCTCAGCATTGCAATCTTTATTCGAGTGTCATACATGAGCTTTTATGTTATATATATACCAAAAAAATTGGAAATGGCTGTATTTACACTGAACGTTGTCTAGAAACTTTACAAAGGGTTAAGGACCTGGGATACAGTTGAGTGAAAGGTTTTGTACTTTCGTTGCAACTTGTTTAAAAGGTTTGGGACTTCTAGTACAATTGGTTCAAAATGATTGGGTCTTTTCTGTGACATCTGGATCATTATTGCACCATCATCTTCACATTTTCTAAACAAAATTTCCCTTCTATTTATGAATTATTCAGTCTCAGCAAAGAAGATGAACATAGGAGAAACAAAACATCGAAGCACAGTTGGAATAATAACATGTTTTATTACTAGGAAATAAGTAAAAAAAAAACAATAGACCACACGATTTTTCATTGTGAGACCCACATCATAATACAGAACCCCAATATCTTAGCTCATACCTAAACCAGATCTACTTACAGACCCATTTCACTAAAACTCCATGTACAAATCCAATGAGCCAGTATTCCACGTTGTATAACCTCTTGAATGGAGGGTGTTTATTTCATATTTCATCTCTTTCCTAGAGCGTACAAGTCTAGGAATCAGCTCCTTCGATCTCTCACACATGGCGGGCCAACCTAGTCAAAGAAATTACATTCACCCGCATCTTTACGTCGTGGGTAGCTGATAAACCTTCTTCATAGGTTCAAGTTCGTCCATAAAATCTTCATCTCCACAGGGAACCCACATCTACAGACATTCATATCCATCTCCTTTTTGAAAAATATCTAACAGTTATTGGAAGGAGGGAGCATATTATTATTCAACGATGTGGAGGACAATGTACAATGATTTGAACAATATCAAACAGGAATAGTAATTGGATGAAATTGCCAATCCTTAAAATGGTCAAAATACCTTATTTTTTTTTAAATTTTCCAAGTCAACTGACGGTATTTTGGACGGTTTCCGTTCAAAGGGATACTAACTGCATATTTATGAAAGATTAGGCACCTCATCTAGTATAAAATGAAGGTTAAGGTAAAGTCTGCAAAAAATGAAAAAACTTGGGACCGTTACTGCAAATTTCCCATTTCTTTATTACTCTCACTCACAACAAATTCAGAATTCTAAAGCTCAATCCACCATGGCTTCTCTTCTTCAATTTTCATCTTTTCTTCTCACTGCATTGCCTCTGCTAATCTCACCCGCATGTTCACTCATCTGCACATCACAAACATTTTCAATGAAAACCACATACTTCACCAATAGCATTGACCTTCTAGCACTCTGTTATGAAAAAAATAAATACAGCAATGGAGAAAAAACAAAGGAGAAGAAAATGATGAATATAAATCCGGTAAAGACTTGAACACGAAGATTATATTGTTGTCCTCAAATGATATTTGTCTCATCTATAATGCTTTTAAGGATTTAATGGAAAATAGTTTGTAGGATTAAACAAGCTTTATGAAGATCACAAAAAGCAAATTGAATCTTCAAATGAACAAGTAAGAAAAATTTGGATGAATAATCAATCTAAAATTTGATATGCATAACATATATTTATAGGTTTCAACCATGCCTCACAAAGTGGTTCCAAGCTCAAAGCAAGATGTGCAATGCTTCATCAATCAACCACTAGAAAATTTGAAAAAATCTAGCTAACGGTCACATTTTATAACTTTGCGGTCGCATAGTAATAGCCTTGGTTGTCTCTAAATTTCCTAATCGTATCTATACGACCGCATGCATAAAAGGCTTATGCGGTTGCATAGGCCATTACCATGGCATCATTTTCCTTTTTTTATTCATCCATCTATGAATTTTGAACAACAAGATTCCAACACGCTCAAGGCCTACCTCCATTAGACCTATGACCCTACTGCCAAGTCCGAGCTAACGCTCTCCATTGCATTCATCACCCTACCGGTGAAGCCAGACTGCTGGATCAATTGGGCACTGAACCCGAAGGGCTCGAGCATGGTGGGATCTCAATCTCTAGTCATACTCAAAGAGTCTAATGAATCCATGGTGGTGAAAACATACAATATTTCATCTTACATCCCCATAATGGAGACTAAAATTTTGTACAACATGTTGGACAAGCGAGAATATTCCGACGAGGTGATGAGAATATTTGCCACACTTACAATATCGGGAAAACGTGGTGGAGATGAACCAATTGTGGCAGGTTGGTGTGCCGGTGAAGAATGGGATGCCGAAAAAGCAGGACTTTTTGCCAAAAATTTGGCTTCAAAAGGTAAGTTGGAATTGGCAAGTAAGGTAGATAATCAAAATGGAAACTCTACTGTAAGTGGAAGGAAAAATACAAATGTTATTGGAGAAAGTTCAAGGATTTGGGAGAGTGGATTGGGATTGTATAGGGCTTTCATACTACTTGGGATTTTAGTTTTAGGGTTTTAGATTATGTGATGGCCATTAGAATAAGTAGAAGGACAATATATAACTGTCATCGCCAGTGATTTATGTTTGGTTTGTTATCGAATCCATGCTTCAGTTGGCGAGCTACATGTTGAACCACTAATCCATCAGTATTGATCCATGAGCTGAACCAATAAATCAATGACTCACTTCATCATTCACATATTGATTTGAATCGGACCTTAGCTATTGAGGAGGGTTTTTGAAAGCAAGAGGACGGCTCTTATTGGGTATGTGAAGGAAATGCAACACCATATATTTTTATTCACTGGTACAGGGACGACAGATCAAATCTCGTATCAGGACTAAGAGGAGCGTTATGTATGATGATTTCATTATGAAGGTCAGGAGTAGGATTTCTGGATAGGCTTCACGTCTTCTCACTCCTGGTGGTAGGATTACTCTACTGAGGTCTGTTCTTAACTCTAAACCACTGAATCTATTCTAGAATATATGACCTCCTAAGGTCAATTATGAAGGCTAGGAGTAAGATTTCTGGATGGGCTTCATGCAGTCTCTCTCCTAGTGGTAGGATTATTCTACTGAGGTCTGTTCTTTCCTCTACACAATTATATCTATTCTAAATTATGCAACCTCCTAAGGTCATTCTGAAAAGGCTAGAGAGTATATTTGCACGATTTTTATGGGATTCTAAGGATCATGCGCGTCATCTACATTAGCGTAGTTGGAAGGTGATTTACGTTCCTGTTGACGAGGGAGGTCTGGGCTTTATACGACTACAGGATTCGGTGGATACATTTTCATTGAAGTTATGGTGGTTGTTCAGGTCTTAGAGTTCTCTTTGGGCTCGAGTTCTACTAGGCAAATATTGTAGAGGGACCCATCCTTCGCTTGCAGCAGTTCCTCACTCAACTTCTCCTATTTGGAAGAGACTGAAGAAATTTAGACCATGCGCCTAGACACACATTGTGTAGTGCCTTGGGATAGGACAGATCTTCTTTTAACATGATTGTTGGATGAGTAATTCTACATTGGCATCCATTTTTCCACACAGACATCATACATCTGCGAGGTTCCAGACTTTTTCAAGGAGACTGGATGTGATTTCTAGTGATTACTTCAACTCTTCCATCAGTTATGGTAGAGCAGATCGCAACCATTCCACTATGTCTTGATGTCTCGGATCGTATTTTCTGGAGGGCCACATCAAATGGAAGATTTAATACTAAATCAGCGTGGTAGCTGATCCGCTCTAGTAGGCCAATTCAGGATTCATTTTGCCTATTGTGGAGCCCTATCATACCTACTACCATTTTATTCTTCTGTCGGAGACTATGGCAGGATCTAATACCAGTTGATGTCATTATCCAGAGGAAGATCGGCAGTCATTTGGCTTCTCAATGTCAGTGTTGTTCTGAGATTGAGATCATCACTCATATTTTTACCAGTAGTAGTATTTCAGATCATGTTTGGCAATATTTAGGGGCTTTATTTCATATTACTACGAGTACAAGAGAGAGTGTCAGACAGAGATTTTTGAATTGGAGGTATTCTGGACAGTTTGCAAGGACCTGACACATTCACATCATTATTCCTTTATTGATTTTCTGCTTTCTTTGGACTGAGAGGAATAATGCAAAGTACATGAACATATATATGAGCTCAAGACGTATTATCTGGAGAGTTTACCGTATGGTATCCTTCCTCCTGTTGGTGGACTATTCTGACCGTTACATTGGCATAATGAGATGCAATTTGCTATACTTTTTGGTATTTCTTTGACTCTCCCTCCATCTCCTCCACCTATCATGGTTTGGTACTTTCCATCATTTGGATCTATCAAGATCAACATCGATGGTTGTGTCAAGGATCTGTTTGCAAGCGGGGGAGGCATCATCAGGGACTATGAAAAAAATTGTATCAAGGCTCTCTTAACTTCATATGGACAATGTATGATATTAGATGTGGAACTTAGGGCTATTTGTGATGGGATAGTATTGGCTAGAGATCTTAGTTTGTCAGATATATAGGTTGAGACAGATTTAACTATCGCCACCAAAGGTGGCGGACCGTGGCCTATCAAAGGGATACTCAAACAAATTGTAGATATCGTTTCATTTGATAGAGATATGGTCTCCCACATCTTCAGAGAAAAGAACCAAGTTGCAGATGCACTTGCTACAGGGGTGGCATCATCGTAGATACCAGGAATATGGACATGTCGACCTACCACGACATATCAAGGCGCTTGTTCAGATTGAGAGGTATGGTTTGTCCTACACTAGAGTTTATGTATTTGTATTTTGCTTTTACTTTTATTTTTGCTTTTACTTGTTCTTTTTTTAAGGGAAGTAGTACTCATTTTTTTACTGTTTTTCTTTTATTCTTTACTTTCACTGTTAGGAAAGTAGTACTTTCTTATTTATTAATTTTATTGATATCATTTGTAACCACTTTATTTTTCCTCCACAAATAAGGACATATTAATAAAATTTCGGAGGTACCGCCCTCCTTCCACAAAAAAAATGTCATTTTTACAAGTTTATTTCGGTTCACAAATATGGATAATTGTCGATAAATGTGTGGATAATTGTCGGTTCACAAATATGGATAATTCATGTAATTTGTGTTTGCAGGATAATAATGATGATGATGGTGGAAATTGGAAGAGAAATGGAGGAAAAGGACCAAAATGAAGGGAAACCAAAGTACATGGACCGAATTGCAAATAGCCAAAAGATGGCCCAGAGGAGAAATTGAAGAGGCAAGGATTGCAACATCAAATCGAGCATGAGAATTATGCATTGGAAGGAGGAAGAATGGAAAAGGAAATCGAGAAACACATAAGTAAAGGACTAAAATGCCACAATCGGAAAACAATAACACTATGCAGTCGCATAGTGTTATAGTGGATGCGACCGAATACAAGCAAACATGGAACTCAAGTGTATAAAAGAAAGACTCTATCCGACCACATAGAATCCTTCTATGCGGTTGCATAGATGTAAAAAGGAAAAAAATATGGGTTTCCTAATCCGACTCCAATTCTTATGGAAACATGATTTGGGTCATGTATATAACCCAAAAACTTCTGGGAATGAGGGTTACACATTCTTAAAGGAAAAACAACATTGAAGAGCAAGGAAGAGGGTAAAAACAAGGGATTTTCATTCAAGATTCAAGATTTCGAGCCTAAATTCTAGTTTTAGGTGATGTCTTCTCTTTATTATTTTATTATTCTTTAATTTTATACATGTTAGGCTAGATTTTTAATGTATTAGGAGAACGATGATCCTCGCTATGTGAATGTTTAATTCCTCATTTTACAATTTTGACATTAAGACACGAATATTATATGGTGACTAATTTATATACACTTCAATGTCTCCATAATTAAATGTATATTATTATGTGAGTATGAGTGATTTATTTCATACATTCGAAAGAAGGGAATTAGATTCGAAAATGTATAAATCATTGTAGGGTCCGATAGGGGATAGAAATATACTGCTATGCTTTACTTAAATCCTTAAATGTTTACAAAATATCATGCATTCTCATATATTGCATTTGTCATAGAAATATAGTAAAATGGTACGCGAGAATAGGCTCAATTCTAATCGAGAGAGATTACTGAATATGTTAGAAATATTGATTCTTCAACTAAATCGTTGTGTTGTCAAATTGTGAAATAAGGGTTAAACATGAACTTGTTTGGTGATTCGGGATCCTAGTGCATTTTTTTATACATAAGTTTCTTCAACTTTTAGCATTTAACATTACTTTGCATTCATTTAGTAGCCTTAGTTTAAATTGCATTTTAATTATAGTTTAGTTATAAAATTCAAATAATCATTTTGAGTTAAATAGATTCGGTTAAGGTCTTGGTAATTGGATTTGGACGTGGATTTTTGTTATTTAGAAACTAATTCGAACTTGTTTTTAATTTTAGTTTACAAATTATTTTCTATTTAGTTTGTCTACTTAGGCTGAGCTAAGTGCTGTTATTTTTCGCCTCTTTGGGTATTGCATGAGTAGATCAGTTGGCGATGAACTACTTCCAATGGATTTGGAAATTGAACGAACTTTTCATCGCAGGCAAAAGATCGCTAGAACAGCACAGCAAGAAAATCAAAGACATGTACAAATGGCTGACCAACAACTGAAACCGAGAGTAAACCCTATAGCTCCAGCCAATACAGAGGCACAATAGGATGGGGATGCTCTTCTAGCAGATTTCTTATCACCATTCGTCGCTCAAAGTCAATTAAGCATTGTCTACCCCGCATTCGAACAGCCAAACTTTCAGCTGAAAACGAATGTCATCCAACTATTCCAAAACGGACATCAATTCTACGGGATAGCCAACGAGAATCCACATATGCATATGTCCCACTAATTGGATATGTTGACACATTTTAGGTACCAAGGGATATCAGAAGATGCGATCAAATGGAGGTTATTTCCACACACTTTGTGTGATAAGGTACTTGATGGTTAGATTCACTCCCTGTTGCAAGTATCACTATTTGGAACGATCTGGCTCACAAATTCTGCACGAAGTTCTTCTCACCAGCCAAGGTTGCGAAATTGAGGCATGAGATACCAATATTCAGCTAGAATGAATCTGAGTCATTTGATGAGACATGGAACAGATTTAAGAATATGCTGAGGAAATGTCCTCAACCTGGATTCGACAAACCATCACAAATCAATTTTTTCTACATAGGACTACTTCCAACTTTCAAGAGCATGGTTGACTCATCATCAAATGGCTCATTAACCACCGAACGATCGATGGAGCTTGGAAGTTATTTGAAAGAATGGCAAGCACTTTAGCCATGTGGTCTTCAGATCGAGGGGGTCCAAAGAAATCAGCTGGAGTCTATGAGGTAGATACCTATTCGACCTTAGCTACAAAGATTGATTCCTTATTTCACAATGTGGATAGCATAACATAGATGGTAAATTCAGTACAAATACAAAAGTCAAACTATAAAGCGTATGGAGCAGAACATGGC